CTCTCTCCCTCCCTCCCTCCCTCCCTTCCTTCCTTCCTTCTTTCCTTCCTTCCTTCCTTGTCTTTCGAGACAGGGTCTCACCATGTAGTCCAGGCTAGCCTCCAATTTATTCTCTTGCCCCAGCCTCTTGAGTGCTAGAATTACAGGCATTGCCACCATACCTGGCTTCTTCACTTTTAATGGCTTTAGACACTTCTAAATATTTACTTAAGGGCGGTCGAGATAGCTCATCAGTCTAAAGCGCCTGCTCAGGCAAGTGCAGGGACGAGGGTTCGATCCCCAGCACTGAAAGCTCTGCCAACTCCACCCCCAGGGCAGGCTGAGCCAGCCACAAATAAATAAATAAATATTTACTTAAAATCTACCATACTCCTAAGTGAAATAAGCCGGATGCATGGGTAAATAGCACATTGTTTCCCTGGTGTGACAACACAAGAGTGTAAGCAAGGGCCAAATGTACACTAGGCACTGTGAGGTAGGAAGTATTCTGATGGGGAGGGGAAGAAAGGGCAAATTTATTTATTTATTTATTTTTGGTCGAACCGGGGCTTGAACTCAGGCCCTTGCGCTTGCCAGGCAAGCCCTTATTCTGCTGAGCCATCTCCCCAATCCCAAAAGGGGAAATTTAAAAAAACATGATAAAAAAAGGAACAAAACACAAACAACACTTTTTTTTTAAGTGGAGAAGGGAGGAGGGACTGAAGGGAAGAAAGGAGAGTGAGAAAAGAAGACTAAAGATCTAGTGTGTGCAGGTAGATTCTCTACGATGAATGTGGTCATGTACATGTATCCAAAATGTGCCAACATAGGGCTGGGAAGATGGCTCAATAGAATAAGTGCTTGCCTGACAAGCACAAAGGTCTGAGTTCAATCCCCGGTTCTGCCAAAAAAAAAAAAAAAAAAAAAAATCAGATTGGAAGAGGAAAAATAAATCTACCACACACTGGTTTTATTTATTTATTTTTATTTTTTAAGATAGGTGTCTCTGGGGCCGGGGAGATGGCTCAGTGGAATAAGCGCTTCCCTGGCAAGCGCAAGGGCCTGAGTTCGATCCCCAGTTCTGCAAAACAAACAAACAAACAAATAAACAAAAAAAGATAGGTGTCTCTACACAGTTCACAGTAGCCCTGAACTCACTATGTAGTCCACATTGGCCTCAAACTCAAGGATCCTCCTGCCTCAGCCTTCCCATTGTTGGGATTACAGGCCTGAGCTGCCCTCCTGGGCTGTTTTTTAAACTTTCAGGTACCATCAGGAAAACCATGGAGTAACAGGGGAAAGAGAAGGTTCTTCAAAGGAACTCAACGTGTCAGGCAGAATTAGGAGCAGAGTCTCCCTCCAGCCTCCGGAGGCCTGGGCTGCTGCGGGCGGGGGCGGAGCTCTGGAGTGCTGGGTGGGTTGTGAGGAGGATGCACCGAGCGAGGCGGGGCGCTGGTGAGGGATCTTCTGTCTGTCTGTCTGTCTGGTTTGTCTGTGTGGCTCCTCCCCAAGGGGCAGGCAGGAGACACCCGGATCCGGGGGCCAGAGTCCTTATATCTGGCTGCGGAGTTAATGAGTAATATTCCGGTATTAGCTGACCCGGAGTCAGGACCCTGAGCGCAGGCCTGTGAGAACCGGAACCGCACCATGTCGGTAAGGCAGCCGCAGGGGGCCTCTTGCTCCATCTGCCTCTCTGCCTGGCTGGGGCCGGGTGGGGTGCCATGCCTCTCTGGGCCTCAGTTTCCCACTCTACGCAGCGAGGAGCCCTGGCCGCCACAATCCTTGAGCGCTGGGCCCTCGGCTTCCTTTGCCTCCACCCTGTGCAGAAGGCTGGGCCTGACTTCTGCTCCAGCCTCAGTTTCCTTGGTGGTGGTGGCAGCAACAGCACCAATAACTGTGATGGCTACTGCGCAGCCCATTGTGTCTCGGAAGGAGACCCGGGCTGAGGAGCTGGAGGCGTGTGTGCGTAGTGTACGTGGACCCTGGCTTCCAGCCCCAGCACGAAGTAAAGAAGGGAGAAGAAGAAACCGAGGCCCAGAGAGGGAGTTGCCCATGGTCATTCATATCTGCCGATTTCAGGGCGATGAGGGGGTCTGCTGTGAGTTCCCCCCTGGGCCTCCAGGGCTTGCTGGGGGACCAGGGACAGGATGCCTTCCCTCCCTGATCCTCTGACCTATGAATGGAATGAGAAGCATCCTCTGATAAACTGGCGTGCTCATCCCCTAGGGCTGCTGAGACGTCCTTACCAAACAGGAGGCTTGAAACTAACTGGTTCTGCTGGGCATAGTGGCGCAATCCCGTAATCCCAGCACTGGGAGGCCGAGGCAGGGGGATTGCTACAAGTGCAGGCCAGCCTGGGCTACATAGTGAGTTCAGAGACAGCCTGAATTGCATAGCAAGACACTGTCTCAAAAAAAACCAAACAATCTGGTGTGGGCAGGGCTGCAGCCCCTGCAGGTTCCAGGGAAGATCTTTCTAGTCCATTCCAGTTTCTGGCAGTGACGGCCAATCCCAGGTGTCCCCTGGTTTATAGCTACATCACTCCAAGCTTTGCCTGCTTCACGTGGCCGGTCCTTTCTGTCCAAATTTCCCTTTATTTATTTTTCAGTTTTGAGACAGGTTCTCACTATGTAGCCCAGCCTGGCCTTGAACTCCTTGCAGTCCTCCTGACTCAGCCTCCTGAGTGCTGGATTATTACTGTGGGTCACCCTCCCCACTTTTTTTTTCCCCAGTACTGGGGATTGAACTCGGGACCTTGCACTTGCCAGGCAGGTGCTTATGCCACTGAGCTATCGCCTCGGCCCATCCTCCTCTTATGGGGACACCCAGTCATGGTGAATTTAGGGCTCATGCCAAGTTAGTGCCACCCCATCTTGACTATATCTGTCACTTTCAAACAGGTCAAATTTGCAGCTTTCAGGTGGAAAGTCCCCTCACAGAGGGGTTTCTGGGGCCTGGTGTGGTATCTTAGCACTCGGGAGGCTGAGGCAAGAGGACCTCTGTGAGTTCGAGGTTGGCCTGGGCTACATAGTGAGAATATATATAGGCTTCTGCCTTTCAGGGGGACCCAGAGCCACCTCTACTTCTCCTCAGAGAACCTGATCAGAACTCCTTTTATCACAGATGGAGATCAGGCCCAGAAAGGAGAAGGTCACTTAGCCGGCCAGAGGGATGGCTGGGATTTGAACCCTGTTCCCCAACTCCCAGCCTACAGCCAAGCCTTGACCTGACCTGTCCTGGCTTTGCCTCCATTCCTCCCTGGGCCATAGATGCTGCTGCGTGGCAACAGCCCTCCTCTTTGCCTAAATGCACTGCTGATCCTGACCTTCCTTCCAGGAAACACTGATGTCCCCGGTTGCTGGGCTGGTGCTGTGCCCGAGGGGAGTGTCAAGCACACCTACACACATGGCGCACACACATCATGGCAGGGGACTTGCCAGTGTTACAGCTCTATGCTCCTGGACTTGTCGCTGCCTTTTTCAGGACCTCCTTTTATTTATTTTTTATTAAATATTTATTTATTTATTTTGTGTGTGTGTGGCCAGCTCAGCCCACCAGGGGGGCGGGGCTGGCTGGCATGTGGTGCTGGGGATTGAACCGCAGTCCCTGTGCTTTGCTTAGCTTAGCTTGTTCTAAGTCGGTGCTTTAGACCACTGAGCCATCTCACCAGCCCCTTTTATTTATATTTTATCTTCTTTTTTTCTTTGGCGGAACTGGGGATTGAACTCAGGCCCTTACGCTTGCCAGGGAAGCACTTATTCCACTGAGCCATCTTCCTGGCCTCTATATGTTATCTTTTTGAGATGGTGTCTCACTGTGTAGTTCAGACTGGCCTCGAGCTCACTCTAGCCCAGGCTGACCTTGAACTTACGGTGATCCTCCTGCCTCAGCCTCCTGATTGCTGGATCACAGGGGCGCATGTCTGGCAGCGCCTCCTTTTAGGAAGGACTGCTCCTGGAGCGCTGGGTAGGGTGCAAGGCAGCAGGCCAGCCTGGGCTGACCTTCGGGGGAGGGAGTTGCTCTTGTCAAAGCGCCCTAGTCTGTGTGGGAGGGGGTTTGGGGCTTCTCAGACAGTGCCTGCTCCAAAACTAAACCCAACCCCAGGCAGGCAAATGAGCAGAAATGCCCCAATGCAAAGGCATTCTCCGGGGTTCTGTCTTTGGTGTTGCTTGGTCCTGTTCAGTCCCCCTCCCTTCCCCTTCAGCCATGGAAGTGAAAGATCTCAGCCTTGGTTGGGCAGGTAAGGAGCTGCGGAAGCCCTGCTCCACACCCTCCCTGGAATCCAGGCTCTGTCCAGACCCTGTGGAAAGCTGGGCAGGTGGCTAAAGGCCACGACAGTACCCACGGAGGGCCCTCATAGGCCTTGACCTGGGCCTGTCTGCATGCTGGGGCCTGAGGAACACACTAGTTCTTCCAGGTGGGTGCTACGGCGTGGGCCTCCGCAGCCAGCTCTGCCACACAGTGGCATTTGGCAGCTGGGACAGAACCCAGGCAAGCACTCTGCCACGAGGCAGCACCCCCAGCCCAGCGATTGTGGCTTAATGCGTATACCAAACCAGCCTAATTTACAGATGTGGAGAGTGAGTCTGGAGAAAGAGTCCTGTTCTGGCACGAGACTTAGAAAGCCACGTGGATGCCTCATGCGGGGTGGGCAGCACCCTGCTTGCCTCTGATGAGCTCATTTTCTGCATTATATGCATGGGGCATCAGATTCTAAGGGCAGCGATCTGTGTGCTTTGAACATTTTTTGTGAACTGTGAAGTTGCAGGGACCAATCTACCCCTTCTACAGATGAGTAACTGGGGCTCCCTGCCAGGTCCTGTCCCTCCAGACTCAGCTATGCCCTAGGCAGCCTAGGCCAGGGGGCGGTGGGACTCAGGGAAGGGTCACCAGGCTCCACTCCTCCCGTGCAGCTCGGTGACATCCCGAGGGCAAGGGGAACATGACGTGTGCTGGGTTGCCTCATTGAGCTCTTACTCTGTTGGCACAGGTGACATTTGAGATTACGAATCTGGATATGAAGGCGGGGCAGACCCTGAAGCTCAAGGGCAAGATTGAAGAGAACATTAATGAGTGAGGCCAATGGGGGATGGGCAGGGCGGGCCAGCCCCGGGGGAAGGTCAGGCCAGAGTGACCGTGAGGCCAGGGGCCTCACTCCTATGCCCGTGTAGACCCACTGCCCAAAGCCCAATGCCACAGGACACCTCTTACCCACGGCAGCTACGGGGCAGGGGGCGCTTGTGCATTTGAGCCACAGGGCATGGGGTACTTCTGCACTTGTTCCTGGGTTAGAAACCACGGCACCGATCCATGTTCCAGTCACAGCTCAGAGCTCAGCACGGGGCTCTCCCAAGTGCGGACGTTTTTGACCTTTCTTGGGCCTGATCTCTGCCCGCCTTGGGTTGGGAAGAGGGTAGGCAGATGCCTGAAGTCGGCGCTAGGAGGACTGCTTGCTCTCCCCAGCTGAAGCCCCAAGAATTGGCAGATAAAGGGAAAATACCCCAGGTCCCAGGCCCCTACCCCACGGAAGGAACCTAATAATTTACCTCTAGTGACAGGAAGCTCACCTCCCTAGGTCTTCAGATCCCTAAGGAGGGTGGTCCTGTCCCCAAGGCAAACATCTCTATTTTAAACTGTCAGATAGGCACTTCTGTAACAGCCATGGCCTCAGCTCCAAATGGAATGTACTACTGCAGTGTCAAGTCTGAGCGGCTGTCACCTCCCTGTGTTAGACCACATTATCTCAAAGTCTCTCTTCGGTGATTCTCCCAGCTTGTGGCCAACAGAAGCCCTCTGGGCCAGCGGCTGTCCCAGGGCTGCCCCCTATAGCTCACCTGTAACCCTTTCTTGGCAGCTTTGCGATTAACCTGGGTCGGGGAACAGGTGACCTGAGCCTGCACTTCAACCCACGGTTCAACGAATCCGTCATTGTCTGCAACTCAAAGAGTGGTGGCAACTGGGGACAAGAGCAGCGAGATGGTCACATGTCCTTCAGCAAGGGGTCAGAGGTCAAGGTGAGGTCAGGAGAGAGATGATGTCATAGGGCGAGCACAGGGGTGCCCCCAGCCTCTTGGGGACATGCACTTGTACCAGGCCCTCCTTCCATGCTGACACTTATCTCCGCTGCAGCTCACTGTGGCCTTTCAGAGCGACGAATTCAAGGTGACACTGCCAGATGGGCACCAGCTGACCTTTCCCAACAGGCCGGGCCACTCCTACCTGAGCTACCTGAATGTGCGAGGCATCCGCATGTCCTCCTTCAAGTTGGATTGAACAGCAAGGACCTGCTTGAGTGCAAGTCCCCAGCCTAGACTTCCTGTTCTGGGTAACCCAGGACCTGCTCCCAGCTCTCCACCCGTACTTCCTGCTCCTTTAGTCCCATTTCCCTTTGCAAAGTAAAAAGAAAAAAAAAAAAAAAAAAAACAACCAAAAACTCTTCTCTTGTGGTGGAGCTGTGGTTATTATTGCTTTCCACACATTTTAAAACTCCTGACATTTTCATGACACAAAGAAGAAACAGAGGCACAAGGACATTGCCCTGCCAGATGTGGAGACTGGGATGTGCTCCCCACCGGCCCCAAGTATACACTCCTGACTGCCTCCCTCTTACGGACAGAGCAAATGTCAAGCTGCCCCAAGGAATTGTGGGGTGGGCACTGGTTCCAGGTACCTGGGGCAGGGGCTGTTCCTGGAAGGGCTGATAAGGCTCCCACCTGGCTCCTTATCTAGGGCAGGCATTCCAGCCTGGTTACTCAGTACCTGCCCGGCCTCCTGCTGGGGCTGAGCACTTTCCAAACTCCAGAAAAGGGGGGGCTTCTCAGTAGGGGGCGGCTAAGCTGCTCTCCTGGGTCCACAAGCTTCTAGCAGGACAACTTTTATTAAAAAAGCCTTCTTTAATCAAGCCCAGAAGCAGGTCTGGGGACACAGCAGGGCAGGATTCTTCCTGCAAGGTCATACCTGACCTTTGCTGTGAGACTTGGGGACATGTGGGAGTGCTGGGAAGGCAGTCTGGGGTGGGGCTCCAGGGCAGGGCAAGGGACCCTCTGGGGGGAGCCCCAGGGAAGCTGGGGGCAGGCATCCCAATGGGAGAGGAGACAATGGCCCTGTGTGGTCAGGTCCCCGCCCCCACCCCAAGGGCAGCTTCCTTGGGCACAAAGGCTACACTGTGAGGTTGGCCCTCCAGTCGGGGGTGACACAAGGGGGGTCCAGAGTCATCGCCTCTGCTCAGCGGGGGCCACTGGGGCCAGGACAAGGTCCCTACCTTCCCTCCCATGTCTATTCTGCAGAGGTGAACAGAGGCTTAGGGACACATGGCCGTCCCCTCTCATTGGGCAGGTCCTGAGCCCAAGCCTGGATCCCTCACACTTTCACTTCATCATCCGTGAACTCGAAGGTGTCGGCCTGCACGGTGCTGGGCACCGGGGCCCGGCTGCCTGTCCAGGGCACTCTCCTCTCTTCCTCTAGGCTCTCCCAGGAGCCCTGGGCCTGGGGCAGCACCTCCACGGGCTCCCGCCTGGCAGCCACCTCCGAGCAGTGGCGGGTGTGCTGGGCTCCACCCCAGTTGGCTCCCCAGTGCCTGCTGAGGGCTGCATCGGCCGGTGCCTGGGGACCCTCTCCCACCAGGCTGGCCTTTACCTCAGCTCCTGGACCTAACCCAGCAGTTACCCCATTGGGGAGATGTCCATGGGCTGGGCGCTGAGCAGGGGCCCGAGGGTTTGCTGCCAGGTCTGGGGGAGTTGCTGCAGGAGCCAAAGGATTTGTAGCAGGAACTGGGGGATTCGGGGCAGCAGGCATGGCTTTTGCAGCAGGGGCTGGGGCCTCAGCTGCAGGGGCTTCTGAGAGGCTCATGACCCCCAGCAACTCACTGAGCAGTGAGGGCCCAAGGTCAAGGTCCAGGCGGAAGGACAAAAGTGAGTCAGAACGGCGGAGCTCTGGCTCACAGGCGAAGGAAGGGTCTCGGTCTCGCTCACTTGGCTTTTCCAGGCGGGGTAGGCGGGCGATGGTGCAGAATCCAGAGTCCAGGCCTAGAAGATACGTGGGGTGCGGGTCAGAGCTGGGGTCCCTTAGCACGACCAGCCCTGGCTTCTGTGCATCCTCTGGTGAGTCACAGCCCTCTCTAGCCTTGTTTTCTCCCATCCTTCCTGCACAGTCCCTGCAGGAAGGGAAGGTGGTCATGCTCCTCATTCCAATTTTGCACAGGAAGAAAGTGGGGCTCAGTCTGAGAGGAGAAAGGTCATGCCTCAAAGCTCCTGAGTCTCAGTCCCAACTGCCCTTGGCCACAACCTTTGGTTCTCAGCTAGGACACGGGCCATGGCCTGCAGGGGAATGAGCCCATAGCAGTCAGGCAGGTTGCGGACATGGGATGGGACCAGCAGCCACAGTGTGGCCGGAAGCCACAGGCTCCAAGGACAGGTGAATGCCTTCTGCCAGGTTACTATGCAGTGGGGGCTTTTCTGCAGTGCATAGGGGAAGAACCTGATGGGGCAAAGCCGCATGACAAGATGCGGCCACCAGGGGGCAGCAGAGGCCCATCGCTCCCAGGTGAGACAGCCTTGTGCCCAGGTGGCAAATCCACGTGAGAGGTCTTCAAACTTCTACTCCACCCATAGCCACAGCTTGGGGCTGGAGAGATAGCTCAGTAGAATAAAAGCTTGTCTGGCAAGCGCAAGAGCCTGAGTTCACTCCCTGGTAGCCACAGCTCGTGTCTCCTACTATGTGCCAGACTGGTAGTGACGATCCCACTGGACCTTAGCAACGGCACAGAGGGACTCAATAAGGGCCAGAGCTTCAGCTTGCAGAGGTCCAGGGTGTGGTGGGAATTGGACAGAACCAGGGTTGGAAGCTGGAATCCGGGCTCTCAACCTTGGCACCGTGTCCATCTGACTGTAGAGTGCTACTTCAGTTGCAGGGCGTTAAAGTGGGTGCACTGGTCCCATTGGGCCCAGAGAGAAAGGAAGGGGTTGTTTGAGACACGGTGGGTCAAAGGCAATTGGAACTCAAAACGTCCCCTGTCCCACCTTCACCTGTCTTGCTCCATGGCCTGGTGCTTGGGCCTGACCTTCAGGGAAAGACCAAACCATCCAGGGAAAAGGAGACCTTCAAAGCCCAGGGACCCTCAGGCCTGGGCCTCAGCCACAGGCAGTGGGCAGCAACGCCAGGTACAATGCCAGGCACTCACCATAAGCAGAGCGACCGTCCGTGGAGCTGGCAGGGCTGCTGTCGAAGCTGAGCTTGCCCACAACTAGGCTGTCGTAGGCGGCCTGGTTGAGTTGGGGCAGGGAGATGGCATTCTTGATGATGGGTGAGACGGCAGGAGGAGCTGGCGAGGGGGCAGGGGGGGAGGCCATCCTCCGGGCCGGCACTCCGACCCTCCGCACCTGCTGCAGTTTCTTGGCCAGGAAACTGCGGGGCGAGCGGTGTGTGCTTCTGGAGCTGCCACCATGGTTGCTGAGGAAGGAGGTATCCCCGAAGACATCCCCACCGCGGCCCACGTGCATGGTGTGACGGAAGTCTCCGAGCGGGGGGCTGATCATGTCTGCGGTCAGCCGCCTCTTCCCCTGTGAGCTGGACACCCAGCCCACAGGTGACAGCTTGCCCAGGCTCATGGTGGGGGCTCCTCCGCCCCCCTGGGGGCCGGGCATCCGCTCTGGCTGCTCAGGATTGCTAGTCCATGCCCACCTGGAGCCGGGTATGGGGGCAGGTTGGGTTCGGGGCCCCTGTCAGCTCCTGGTGCTAGCTGGAGGGTGGGGGCCTGAGGCTGCAACGTGGCTCTCCTAAGGCACTGTCCCCGGGCCCTGGGGAACAGTTACACACAGCAGACACAAGAAGGGCTTCAGAGATGGACAGTACTGTCCTGGCCAGCGGTGGAGACCTGCGGGGGAGACAGAGAGGACAGAGATATGATGTAACCACAGACTAGGGCAGGGAAAGAAAGCTGGGGTCCAAGCAATGACAGCCAAAAAGAACAAACAGTTACACTCAGTGACACCAACGAAGGTCAAGGACCAACAGTGGAACGGAAGCTGGGTACAAAGGAGGACAGGTCAAGTGAGTCCACAGAAAGAAAGTGCAAGGGCAGGAGGCACAGGCCACGGAGGTCAGAGCTGCGCACTCCTGGAAGTAGATATTGATGGAGCAGCATGAAACCTCCCCATAGCTGCACATTAAGAAAAATATTGGTAACCCATAGTACGATTGTGCCCAGAGCCTCAGGTGAAGCACTCGGAAGTGCCCGGGGACTCACCTGCATCACTCATTTAACCCACACTATGGCCCTGAGGGAGACACGACATTAGGAAGGGGACACTGAGGCACCAGAAGTCGAGTGGCTTGCTAAAGATACCACAGTGGGAAGCGGTGAAGCAGACGAAACCCCTGGACCCTTGAGCCCCAGGCAGCGCTGTCTCTGCTTGGCATGTGGAACAGGGCATCTCCTTTTGCTGTGGGCTCAGATCCCTTCCACTCGGGGAAGGCGGGAGGGAGGAGGAGCCTCTACAAGGTTCTGTGTAAACAGCCAGCACAGAGGTGCCCTGGACACCTGCATCTCAAGGTGCTTCCTGGAAAAGGGATTCTGTGGTTGAAAGTGGCTTTTTCCAGCCGCTTCCCCGCATGCCTGACAGATTCAGGGCTCTGAGAAGACCTGTAGGAAAGGGTTTATCTGTCCGCCACACTGACGCCACACTGACGTGGGAATCTTGCTGTCAGGGAATGAGTTTTGGAAAAGCACAATGGGAGCCAGGCTACTCCTTGTTGATGGTCTTCCTTCCTGGTTTCCTACTGTGTCACACGCTCCTCGGCCCCAACCTTCTCTAAGCGCCTCTTAGTACACGACCTCTTTCTTGAGAGTATCATACTATACACAACCCAGGAGCAAGCCAGGGAGATAGCTCAGTAGAACAAGCGCTTGCCTGGCAAGCACAAGGTCCTGAGTTCAATCTCTGGTACCACACACACACACAAAAAAAAAAGACACAGGATTTGGGGGCTGGGGAGATGGCTCAGTGGAATAAGCACTTGCCTGGAAAGCACAGGGGCCTGAGTTCAATCCCTAGTTCTGCCAAAAAACCAGGCTAAGCAGCACGTAATGTCTCCTGCACACTAAGTCTGCAATTCCAGGACCCTGGGAGGCTGAGGCAGGAGGACTGTAAGCTAGATCCCAGTCTGGGCAACTTTGTGACTTAGTGAGACACTGTCTGAAAACTAAGAAAGGGCTGGACATGTAGGTCAGTGTGAAGGATCCAGGTTTAATTTCTTTCTTTTTTCTAGTTTTTTTTTTTTTTTTTCCTCCAGGTTTAATTTCTAATACCAAAAAACAAAAATAAAAGTCCTGGCTACTCGAAGGTTGGCCTCTGCTTTGCCAGTAGCCCAGAGAGAGCCAAGCTTGATTGAGGTCACTTCTAGAGAGCTGGTTGAAACCTGAACCCAGGCCCGGTGACTCACAGGAGCCCGGGGCTGGCTTGTGAGGCCTCATCTTGTCTCCAATCGGCAGCACTTTGAAGGCTGGGCAGGGCCTGGATTTTCCTACCTTCCCCTTGCACCCAGCCCAGGCTCTGCACACGGCAAGTGCAAAATCAACAGTCAACAGCAGCTCACTCACGATCTCTGTGATAACCCTCACACCAAAGGGCCACCTTTCGCCACCTTCTGCGGGGGAAGATAGGCCAGGGACTCAGTGTCCCACATAGTGTGACCTTGGGCAAGTCACCCACCTCCACAGACCTGGGGCCTCAGCTGATAAAAAGCTGATAACGATTTTTAACACCTAGACTGAGGTTGAAACCACAGCCACCTCCTAAGTATAAAACAACTTAATCTTGTCCTTCTAATGTTATTTAAAATTCAAAATAGGTTAAATAACAAGATAAAAACAAAGACAGGCATAGGACAAAGCTTGCTTTGTTTTCTGATTGCTTTCTCTCCCCTTCCCACCATCTGATCCTCCTCCAGCAGTAGCTCCTCCCCCTGGGGGGTGACTTCTGAATCATCCCTCTCCCTGGCACCCCCAGCACAGCCTGGAGAAGTCCTCTCGGAATGTTTGCTGAAGTTATGAAGCCATCCGCAGTTGGCCAACCGCGGATGATGTCACCCCACTTTCAACAACCCCTCAAGGCTGGGGGAGCCAGCCCATTTCAAAGAGGGCTGGGGTTCCAAGGGAGGAGACTCCTCCGAGGTCCTGTGGCAGGTACGTGGCAGAGAAGACATTTCTCTGCTCTCCAGGGACTAACAGTGACTCTGCAGGAAAGGGCTGCAAAATGTCAAGCGTCTGGGTCAGCCCTCATCTGCCAAGTGCCCCAAGCCCCCAGTACCCTTGCTCCCAGCAAAGGCAATGCCTACCCCAGCCCATGAGCACAGATTTAGGAGCCTACTTCCCCCGCACCTGCAATAATCCCACCTGCCAAAGCTTCTGTCCATCTCCAGACTGCACCCTCCCCTCTGCCCACGGAGAACAGACCCTGCTGCAGGTCTCTCAGGTGGCCAATGGGATTGACATGGCGTGCAGGTCCCTCTCAGGAGAAAAGAGTACTGGCGGAGGATGTGGTAACTCAAGGCTCCAATCCCAGAGCAGGGCAGCTAGAGTTCAAATCCAATGCCTTTATGCAACTGTCTAGCATTCCAGGGACCCCTGGTGACAACCATTTGGATTGTGGGCCTTCAGCTGCATTCCATTCCTTCCACTCACCAGCCCAAGAATGTCACTGTTAATGAGCATAACCCCATTTTACAGATGAGAAAAATAAGGCTCATAAACCCACTGATTTAATTTCACCAATCACCGTAAAAAGTGCTACCTGGGAGCCTGCCTGGGTTTCTACTAATATCTGCAGTAAACATCCAGGGTCGAGGTGAAACCTGGGGAAATCCCAAGCTGGTTGCCCAGCACAGAAGGGCAGGCCTGGGAGCAGGAGGCCCAGCTCTGAGATTCTCAGGGTTATCACCTGGGCATCGGCCCCAGTGTCCCGAGGTCAGTCTATTCAAGCTGCAGAGGGTGTCAGGGTCTGGGCATGTGGGCAAGCTCCCTGACAGGCAGTAACAGTAAGGATCTGACCGCAAGGACAAGGTTTTGGGCTGTGGGTAGGGACTGCTCCGGGAGGGGCAACAGGGGCCGCTATGGAAACCCCTGAGGTCCCGAGGCCAAGGGCAGCTCCGCGGTGGAGGTCATACGTGGGTAGTGGCTGTATGCTGGGGGTCACCCGAGGGGTGCACCCTACCTCCTGGGTGCCACGTCTCACCCTGCAGGCTGCTCTGGCGCACAAAGCCGGCATCCCTACCATGACTGGCTTTGGGGCTTCCCATTAGAGCTAACTGCGCGACAGCTGGCTTCTGCGCCTCCAAGTCCAGACGTTTTAAGGTGAAAGACAGGGAAACTGAGGCCAGAAAGGGACAGCAAGCTTTCCGCTGACAGGTTGCTCCGCTAGGCCCTCGGATTCGAAGGGTTAGGAGGGGCCGTTAGGCCACTGGGGAACAACGCGGAGGGGAGACGCCTTTTGCTTCACCACTCCGAATCTGAGCCCAACCAGCTCTCCACTGAGGCAGGGGGCGGTTCCAGAGTCACGTTTCTGTCGGACTCTGCCTCCCTGAGCCTCAGTTTCCCGATCTAGAAATAGGCTTCAGACTTCGTGTTCTTGCATGGTCGGGTAAGGACAGTAATCTGGAACGCCGGGCCGGGGAAGTCCGGGAAGGACTTGGCCATAAAACATCCCCGGGGACGTGGAGGGGGGAGTGGAGGGTCGCCCGGCTGGCGGGGGAAGGGGCTGGAACGGAACCTGACGGATGACCTCATCCCGCTGCCCCGGCCTGGAATGCGGCGGCTGGGGAGGGGGCAGGAGGCCTGAGCCACCCACTCCCCAACTTCCCGCTCCCGGCCGCCGAGGGGCCCGGCGTTCCGACCCAGAGCCCCTATCCCGCGCTGCGCTTCCCTCCCCGCGCAGGAAGGAGCGCGGACGGCGCCTGCTCACCCCATTTCCCGCACTGCTGGCCGGTAGCCCCCTCCTATCCTCTGCCCCACACCGCCCTCCGGATGAAGCACCCGAGAATTCGGGGCGTCGGGGCGCTGAGGCCTCGCGGTGGCCCCAGGTGTGCCTTCCAGCCCAGCGGTGTCCCCGGCCGCCCGGGCGCCTAGCAGAGTGTGGAGCCTTCTGCGAGCGTCCCCGGCCATCCTCGGCTCCGGCCCACTGGCCCCGCTGTTACCTTCTCGGTTGGCGACTTGGGCAAGGGTCCCGGGGCGCACCCCGCGGTTGACGACGCGTCCTGGTGACCAGCCCCGAGAGCCGCTGGGCCGGTCTGCGCGGCGCTGGCCGCTCGCGGCGGATCGGGGCGGGGACGGGGTGTGGGCGCCCTCCCTCCGCCCGCCCCTCTGCTCCCGGCCGCGCCCCCTCCTGGCACGGTCCACGCCGTGCTGCGCGCCCGCGAGGGCTGGGGTAGAGGCCGCGGGGTGCCAGGCCCGGTTTTTGCCCACCGATTTGGTGCTCGCCGCCGTCAGTCAGGATAGAGACTGCAGTCTAGGCGAGGTGATTCGGGCTTCTGTGTCCACCCCTCCCCCAGGGCTCTCGAGTGCAGGGGCGTCCCGGTGGGTAACTCTAGCTCTTGGATCCCCCAGACGTTTCCTGCGCAATTTAGGGAACGTGAAACCTCAATTCGGAGATCTCCACTGCCCCGAGACTTGTTTGAACCTTGAATTTTACCAGTGCAGACTGCCCCTCCCTTTCCCCACCCAACTCCGCCTTCCTTTGCACCCAGTACAGTGTTGGCCCAGTGTACCAGCCACGCATGGAGCTGCCTTGGGGCACATGCCCCTGGCAGGTCCCTCATGGAGAAGTGGTGTGGTAGTCAAGCCTGTGGACCCCAGAATTACAAAGCCTGGGTTCCTTGTGAGGGTTGCTGAATAGGTAATGAGGGGACATCTCAGAAGCCTTTTCTGCCCCCCCCCCCATAGTGTGGATTACGTTTAGGATTGGGATCATGGCCAGGATCTTTTTTTTTTTTTTCCCCAACCGGGGATTGAACTCAGGCCCTTGCACTTGCCAGGGAAGCACTTATTCTACTGAGCCATCTCCCCAGCTCCCTGGCCAGGATATTGAGCCATCCTCAAGGAGGAAGATAGATCTCTGCCTCCCTGGCTGGCTTATCAGGCAGCCTGACTTGCTTCATTTTGGTTTTTGGTTCTTTGAGACAGGGTCTCATGGTGTGGCCCAGGCTGGCCTCAAACTCAGGATGATTCTCCTGCCTCAGTCTCCTGAGTGCTGGGCCTACAAGTGTGGGCCACCACGATTGACTTGTGCACCCTGACTTCTCCCTTCAGGCCTTGAGCTCCCTGGGGACAGTGTGAAGTCCTGAGAGCCGCAGTGGCACAGAGAGGGTGCCGCAGCTTGCCAGGGGTGGAGGTGATGCCATGATGGAGCAAGGGATGACTGGCGAGGTCACCCTGCACTCTCCTGGTGGGGGAGGAGGGGCCCTGGCACTCACAGGTGGGACAGGGAGGTCTTCACTGCATACAGGGGCTACACCTGGCCACGGCTCTCAGTCCTGCTGTTGGCCACCAAGGCAGGCTTATTTCTCCTGATGGATGGTTGGGGAAACTGAGGCACAGAGCACCCAAGCACTTGCTCTGGTGGCACAGCACTGGGATTGAAACTGTGTGGATCAGAGCCCCAAAGTATTTTGTTTCTAGGAGAATGGAAGGAGTGTGCCCATGCTTTTTCTTTTTTCTTTTTTGGTGGAACCTGGATTGAAGTCAGGCCCTAAGCAAAGTGCTTATTCCACTGAGCCATCTCCCCGGCCCCACATTCCCATGTTTCAAAGGCACTGAAAACCTTGATGGAGGAGAGAAGTCACTCAGGGACCACAGTGGCGCCGGGCATTGTCAAGAAAGAAGGACCAGGTCTTGGGGGCTTAACACTGAGCTGGGTGTCTGAGCTCTGCGAGAAGGCGGGCTCAGGAAGCCCAGAAGTGGCGCAGGCAGGGCCTGAACTTGTGATACTCCACCCAAGCTGGTGCACTTAAAAGCTCTGGCTGGAATCCCAGAATAGACTTGAAGGGCTCCGACAGAACTGGGGGACTAGCGGTGCCCTGGTTCCCGTCATTAAAAACATTAGTCATGACCAGCTTTTATTTGTTTGTTTGGTATAGGGTCTCGCTAGGCAGTCCCGACTTATAGTGAGTGACCCTCCTGTCTCAGCCTCCCTGGTGCTGGGATTACAGGCATGCTCCACCATGCCTGGTCTCTGTCGCTGGCACGTCACACCTGGGGTTCCAGGGCCCAAATGGCATGCGGGACTGGTGATGGAACCTCTGTCCTTGTGCCTGTCAGGCAGGCACTTAGACCACTGAGCTATCTCCCCAGCCCACAACCAGCTTTTATTGAGTACCTATAGCTTACGAGGCCCTGTGGCCACTTACGCCCGTCGTCTCATCTCATTCTTTGAAGAGCACTCCATGGACAGTACTAGCATGGTGTCCGTGTTGCAGCGACATAAAGGCGCTTGCCCCAGGTTAGTCCCATACTCCACACTTTGCCCGGGAAAATTCCTGTCTGGGGTGATTACTGATGGCATTGCTCCAATCCCAGTCCAGTGCTGATCAGGAGATACTATGAACCTCAAGTTTGTCCCTGGAAAACAAGTATGGTGCCCATGCAGGCCTTTAATGATGGCAGGACTGCTGTGAGCCCTGGAGAGGGGGCAGGAAAAGCTGACTTGGTAGAGTGGCTGCAAGCAGCTTTGTGTTTGCTCTGTCCTCTGGCTCCTACACCAGCGGGTGAAAACCTCCCACTGTGTTTCTTTTCACTCCTTTGTGACTATCTGTGAGCCCCGAATTGCTGTCCCATTTTACAGATGAATAAACTAAGGCTGACAAGAGTTGCTTTCTTTCACTCATAGCCTGTCCTTGATAGAAGTGGGTTTGTTTGTAAGTCACATATCCCTGCCTGGCTCCACTCCTGATATAAGGATCCCATAGCTTGTTTCTTGGAGAAAAGAGGGGTCTCTGTATCCCTTAGAGGAGTGCAGGGTGGTCAACGCCCCTTGGCACATTGTTTTCCTTTTCCACCTTCCTGCCACTCCTTCTTGCTCCTGAGAGGCTGTGTCAGGAGTGCAGGGGTTAACCCTAGCAGAGCCTAATCACCGTGCAGAAGGCAGAACAAATGTCTCCCAGCTGGGGAATGGAGCTGCTGAGCTGGGCCCCTTGGGGTTCAGGAGCTGCCCCTCACCTCTGCCCTGAAGCCAGGGGCCGAGGTCTGCGCAGGAAGTGTTCTCTGAGCTGGGGGCCCCAGAGATGAGGGGGTGGCTGAGGTTGGGAGTGGGAGCCTGGGGTGAGTGAGCTAGCAGAGCCCCTCCCATCAGCCCCCCAGGCCTGAGAGGCTTCCTGAGGAGCCTGCTTCTCTCACACCCTCAAATAGGCTGGGCTTTAGGTCAGTGCCTGCCTCTGCTCACTGACCTACTGATCGGTCCTTCCAGCCCTCTGTCTTGTGAGTGTCCAGAAGTCCGCCCATTCACAGATGCAGCTGCCAGTCTGTCTGTCTGCCCCGCATCACCTTGTCCATCCCTTGCCCACCCAGCACTCGGCCACTGGCCCACCTACTCATGCATCGCTTCCTGATCCGCGCCACACCTGTCCAGTCACCCCCTGCCCTCACCCTCACCTCATCAGTCCACATCCCACCTGTAGGACACCCCACCCACCAATGCACATCCCTCAGTCCACTGCCACATGGGTCAGCGTCTCATGCATCTACACACACACACACACACACACACACACACACACTTCTCCCTTTCCACCCTTCCAGGAGGCTGTGCTCCACACTCCTTTCTATGACCCAGCATGCATTTCTTTTCTTTTTCTTTTTTTTTGTTTGTTTGTGGAACTGGGGATTGAACTCAGATCCTTGCGCTTGCCAAGGAAGTCAGCATGCATTTCCACCTCAGTCAAACCCAAATGTGAGTTCCAGCTTTGCCCCTTCAGCAAATGGACCTTGGACAAGGCAGTTTCACTTTGTGTCGTGGATCAGGGTCAGTGGGAAATACTGACGCCAGGATACTGGTGGGGCTGCAGGGCTAGCGAAGCATTAGAAGGTCAGGGAGGCAGAGCCCTGATGGGGGAGGTGTTTTTTGCAGTACCGGGGATTGAACTCAGGACTCTGCGCTTATTGTACTGAGCTATCTCCCTGGGCCCAATGGGGGAGGTGTGACAGGGAGGCTTCCTGGAGAGGGTGGCCTTGTGTCTTGGGGAACAGCAGCTTCAGCACAGGGGTGGATGATGGGGATGGGTAGACCTGAGGTGATTTGTGATTCGGAAGGGTGTAGGTGAGCCCAGGAAGGGTCTACTGTGGGGAATGGGCACCGAGAGAGAGTGAATGCCAAGCTAGAGAGGGAGGGATGTGGGGGGCCCTCTGCAGGGGGATTCCTCATTAGCTGGTGATCTTTCCTTCTTGCTGACCTTGACGATGGCTCCGAGGAGGCCAGGAGAGGATGACCCTCCTGGAAGGCACCTTCCGCCCTCTGGTTCCCTCTTCCCACCCTAGAAGCCTCTGGGCAACACTTGGTATGGCGCCTCAGGCCCTCAGCAGGCGTCTAGAGACGCTGAGGCCCAGACAGGGCTGGCTCGACAGGGCTGCACAGTGAGGCTGTAGTGGAGTCTGAACAGGGCTGCACAGTGAGGCTGTAGTGAGTCTGAGCTGCCACACACTGAAGGAGCTTGAGTGTCTACTGGGTACAGTGCTCAGCCTAAGGGGACCAGACAAGAGACCAGAAGGGTCTGAGGGCTGCCTGGCAGAGGCTGTGCAGGGCAGGGGCAGGAGGGCCAGGCAGGGCGTTTCTGGTCACCACCAAGTGTCAGCGGGCCACGCCTGAGACTTCAGGAGTAGGGCCTGACTGGGACAGGGTGATGGCACGCAAGTCCCTGTGTCTCTCACACTGAGGCCGGCCACAAGGCTGGGTGTGAAGGGGTCCTGGGAGCAGGAGGGTCAGGATGGGAGTTAATCTCCTGGGTATTTTGGAGGGAGTGGCCAAGAGGCCCCCAGAGAGGGCTGGCTCCCTCCCGGAGACAGCTGTCAGGGCCGGAAACGCCTCTGGGATTCCAGGGCCTGGGAAGAGGGCCACCGCTTGGCTGCCTAAGGAGAAATGTTCCAGGCCTGGACTCTGGCTCCTTGGTCTGCAGGGAAAAGGCTGTGAGAAGGACCCCACCCCCACCCAGGGCGGCCTGCTGGCTTTCTCCAGGGTGGCTGAGGAAGGATGTGGGGCCAGTTCCTCCTGCCCCGCCCTGGGGAGGGCACATGGATGGATGGACGGCGCTGGTGGGGGGCCCAGGCGCCTGTAGGGGCC